AATTCAGTCTGTAAGAAGTATAAATTGAAAGAAATATGAAGTGAAGCCATGTGAAAAATTCACAAAATTACATTTCATTTTTTGAGTTCAAATATTTCTAATTAAGGGATAAACATTCAAAACCTTCCAATGTCTCAGCATGTTCTTTTAAATATACCTCTTACTACATACAATTAATTTAATTTAATTTGAACCAGTATATATTGAGATAGACATCGTTTTATCACCGCAACCCCAAGTGAAGCCTTTACAAAATAAGACGTTACGCCGTTAGCGTATTATATGTTCTCCTTTATTATTCATTGCTTTAAATAAATAAAACTAAATATTCGAGTTAAAATAGATTACAAATAATGCATTTAACAATCCTTAATATCTTCCCGTCTGTGTTTATCAGTTGAATATGACAAGGGGAATTGTGAAAGAGTCTAGAAAGACGGTGCGACAACAAGAGCGCAGGGCCGAAAAGCGCGACAAAGAAGAAAACGGGTAGGGTACTTTCTGGTGATTCTAATTCTGTATATCGTGACACAACCTTTTTGAATATAGAATTACGGAAAGCGATAGGGGACATGCGCATAATTCAAAATCCAATGGAGTTTTAACATGGGAGTGATATCACACACTGCGGCCCAGTCAGATAGATTTCATCGCGCACTGAATGAATTACAGGGGCCGCGTTGTGCAAAGTTAATTAAAATAGAGTGCGCAGAAATTCCGGCATTCAGTGCGCGATGAAAAAATGATTATCTGTGGATAGATAACGAGATAACGAATAAAAATTCGTGGCACCACGAATTTGATTTTTTTCGAAAGACTGCGGAGTGAACCAGCGAAATGACAATTTTGGATATTATTGATGGCTCTAACGAGGAGAACTTTGAGATTTCCCGATTCTAGCGCGCAGCACATCCAGGACATGCGCACTTTTATCAGATTCGATTCTAATATGGTTTCAAAGATAATGTTCATTAAAAGAGGGCGTATGCATACAGATTACACGTGGCGTTATGTTGAAGTGACCCTTGCAAAGGGTTCCATTGAAAATATATTATTTTGGGCCATTTCATATCTTTTAATTGATATTGTATAAAATATTTTCAATGTTTGAAAATTATAATCTTATAAATAACATTTTATGTAATAAAACTGTAACGAAATGGTAAATACGGAATATGATGCAATACAATGCAGTGCAATATGATGTTATACGATGCAGTGCAATATGATGCAATACAATGTGGTGCAATATGATGTTATACAATGCGGTGCAATATGATGCAATACAATGCAGAGCAATATGATGCAATACAATGCAGTGCAATATTATGCAATATAATGTAGTGTAATATGATGCAATACAAAGCAGTGTTATATGATGCAAAAAATGCAGAACAATATGATACAATACAATGTAGTGCAATATAATACAATAAAATGCAGTGCAACACGATGCAATACAATACAGTGCAATATAATGCAATACAATGCAGTGCAATGCAATACAGTACAAAACAATGCCGTGCAGTGCAATACAATGTAGTTCATTTCAATACAATGCAGTGCAATACAATGTGGTACAGTGCAATACAATGCAGTGCAATACAATACATCGCAGTTCAATACAGTGCAATCCAATGTAGTGCAATGCAGTGCAATAAAATACAATACAGTGCAATTCAATACAATGCAATACAACACAGTGCAATACAATACAATGTTGTGCAATACAATACATTACACTGCAATAAAATACAATGCAGTGTAATAAAATGCAGTGTAAATCAAGACAATGCAATACAATACTGTGCAATACAAAGTAATGCAGTGTAATACAATACAGTGCAACACAATGTGGTACAGTGCAATACAATGCAGTGCAATACAATACATCGCAGTTCAATACAGTGCAATACAATGTAGTGCAATGCAGTGCAATAAAATACAATACACTGCAATTCAATACAATGCAATACAACACAGTGCAATACAATACAATGCTGTGGAATACAATACATTATCCTGCAATAAAATACAATGCAGTGTAATAAAATGCAGTGTAAATCAAGACAATGCAATACAATACTGTGCAATACAAAGTAATGCAGTGTAATACAATACAGTGCAACACAATGTGGTACAGTGCAATACAATGCAGTACAATACAATACATCGCAGTTCAATACAGTGCAATACAATGTAGTGCAATGCAGTGCAATAAAATACAATACAGTTACAATGTAGTTCATTTCAAGACAATGCAATACAATACTGTGCAATACAAAGTAATGCAGTGTAATACAATACAGTGCAATACAATGTGGTACAGTGCAATACAATGCAGTGCAATACAATACATCGCAGTTCAATACAGTGCAGTGCAATACAATACAGTGCAATACAATACATCGCAGTTCAGTGCAGTGCAATACAATACAGTGCAATACAATACATCGCAGTTCAATACAGTGCAATACAATGTAGTGCAATGCAGTGCAATAAGATACAATACAGTGCAATTCAATACAATGCAATACAATACAGTGCAATACAAAACAATGCTGTGCAATAGAATACAGTACACTGCAGTACAATAAAATGCAGTGCAATAAAATACAACGCAGTGTAATAAAATGCAGTGTTATTCAAGACAATGCAATTCAATACTGTGCAATACAATACAGTGCAATATAATACAATGCAGTGCACTGCAATGCAATGCAATACAATATGGTGCAGTGCAATATATTGCAGTGCAATTCAAAACAATGCAGTGTAATACAATGCAGTGCAACACAATGTGGTACAGTGCAATACATTATAATGCAGTGCAATACAATACAATGCAGCGCTATACAATGTAGTACACTGCAGTACAATACAATGCAGTGCAATAAAGTACAATGCAGTGCAATATAATATAATACATTCCAATACAGTACAATATAATGCAATAGAATACAATGCAGTGCAATACAATACAATGCAGTGCAATACAATAAAATGCAGTACAATACAATACAATGATGTGCTATACAATACAATACAATGCAATGAAATGCAATTCAATGCTATGAATGTACACCTTCTACAGTCAAATAAACACAGATAAAATTGTAATAGTATGTTAGTGTATGGAGTTTGAAGTGGGTGGGGGATACAATTACCAGTCTGCTGATTAATGACTTAATAACTTAGAAAAGATCTCCTAGATTTTAACAGGTGGCACTTATGTCTACCTTATGTTCTTGAACAATCTCGTCTAAGAATACAGACCCGTATCCTGGATTAACCTGGGGGAGTGGTTTTACCAAGGGGGAGATTTTGCCAAGAGGGGGGAGGTTTTTGACAGTTATGGCAAAAAAATCATGCGAAAAGTGCTAAGAATGGTGAAAAACTGCATGATTTTGAACGAATATTTGGCAAGGGGGAGGGGGGTGAGGCCCCCTGGCTACGGCCATGGAATACATATAGGAACTTTCCTTCTCCCAGAAGAAATGGTATACAGGTATTACATCAATCATTCTGGTATTTTGTATACGAAGGTCTGTAGTTACTTTATTGAAAGATGGCAGTGTACAATGTGTACTACCATTTTGAGGTCAGTTTGACTTTATAATTCTGCGCACTATAATCTGTTATTCTCATAGATATCCTCTCTAGAGGCATCACTGTGATCCAAAATTACATTTTCGCAGGTCAAGTCTGCAGTCTTTCGAAAAAAGTTGAATTCGTTGTGCTACCCTTTCTTGTTGGGCATTTATTAACAGAAAACTATAATTACATCGCGCCAGCATATACAAGCTTCAGCGCGATATTTTGAGTGTGTTAATAAATAAAGTGCGCAGAAATCGATCTTACTGGGCCGCGGTGTGCGATATCACTCATAAACAGTTTTTAATTGCACACTGAATGAATTACAGGGGGCGCGTTGTGCAAAGTGAATTAAATAAATAAAGTGCGCAGAAATATATCTGACTGGGCCGCGGTGTGTGATATCACTCCCATGTTAAAACTCCATTGAATTTTAAATTCTGCGGTATATCCCCTTTCGCTTTCCGTATAGAATTGTATTGAAGCGCACATTAATCTTAACAAAACTTGAAGTTTTTAAGAAGATTCCACGAATATTAAAACGTTTGCAATTACTTGGAGGAGCATTGCGCATATTTATCGCGTAAATCTTTGCATTTTGTCGGTAAAATGAACAATTACACTGTTACGCCGTGATGTACAGTATCTGACGTCGTATCATATGCATAAAACACGATGAGACGAAATCTAAATAACAGTTGAATGGGGATTTTGTTGCATATCAATGTTAAAAAGTTACAAAATCCGAGTGGACCTGACCAGCGCCCTGGGCCTGGTTATCTATGGAATTACCAAAAAGTATCTTGTATTGCCTCCTTGTAATCCCTGCTGATTGAGTATTTTTTCAAAATTGAAGGTCCAATCTCTAATTTGAGGTCAGATTTTGAAGCAAGTCGAATCCGTTCAGGCCAAAAATTCTTTCAAAATCATGCAGTTTCACCATTTTGAGCACTTCTCAAGTGATATTAGCCATATTTGGGCCAAAATTGTCAAATGTGACCCTCCCTGGAAATTTTTGAAAACTCAACCCCCCTTGGCAAATCCTGACTACGGGCCTGCGTTTTGAACAAAATACTGCAATCGGCCAGGCGCCGGCCGACGAATCGGAGCAAATGTGGCCTAGAAATTACTCAGGCATAACACGGTGACAAAGCTCAGAGTATTTTTCTATACACTCTAAAAATAGCACGAAAACATTCACTCACTCATTCAACCAACGTTGAACTGAGCTATGCGTTCATCCAATAGAAATCATTTATGTTCTTAGTCGCTACGCTCCAACGAACAAAAATAGAACATTCTGTTGACCATGTATTTTCTAAGTAAGGTATTGGATAACTAAAACAAAAGCTTAAGGTTTCTGAGTATATGAGTTGTATGAAAGTATCAACTTTAGTTTTTTATGTTGAAAGTATTCAAAACGCGAAGCACAATCGGATTGAAAAGACGTTTGCTTTCCAGAGACGGACGCGGCAAGAGAGTCCTAGAAACACATTTTATACTGTAACGATACACAAAGATGAAGTTTTGTATTTGTCTTGCATTTGGACTGACAGTTGTGAGTATATTGTTTTCAAGTATATGTAAGCCTATGTGCATTGGAGAAGTTTTATCCGCAGTACAGCTAGCTTGTTTAGGGTGAGGCTGAACTTCTCGAACAATTTCCAAGATGGCCGAAACAAGAAGCACATTTTTTTAGCATATTTTGTCCATCAAAACTTATATGTGTTTCAGTCGGACTTTGTCTCAATTTTTTGTTGGTTCCACATATCGTTTGTTTGATCAAGCTCACTGTGGGAGTAAAAATGGAAACACTATATATATTGAAATAAGAAATTTAGCCCACTGAAAATGTGACAGAAAATCAATAAAAAGAATACTGTCGGATAATTTTTGGTTACCGTTTCGACAATGAATAAATGAGTAGACCATTTCTATTACCATTTTCAAACCGCCATGGTCTGAAAGCCATGAACTCTGTATGTTCGGAATTTTTATGCAGTCCTCCTAGGAGTCACACGTTATTTTCAAGAATAAATAACTCGTTTCATATACGGTCTAAATCTTTCACATTTGCACAGAGTGCACTAATGTATCTTGACTGTAAAGAATATTTTTTTGTAAAATGTACCTTCTGTCACTGAATTTTCTCGTTTTTTATTTTACATTTTACAAAACAAATCTTCTTGACAGTCTTTTCTAGCAAAATTTCGAACACTGAGACTTACCTCCTTAAGGTCTCATGGAAGTTAACAGGAAATGACAAAACAAAAAATGACAAAGCCATGCTGGATTTTGAAAATTTTTTGAACCAAGATAACAGAGTTCTCTTTGGACCTCCAGTCAGTTTAACTAGTTCCACATATCATTTACATAGTCATATAAATCTGACCCTCGTATGATGTTATTTGTTATTATTTTTTCTGATTTGGATATTTATTTTTTCTTATTTTCTTGCATACTAGGGTCATACACACTCCGCACATCTAAATTGCGGGAAATGCTTTCCTGGCCTGTCTACCAAACCAAATTCACACAAATGATAAATAAATTTCTTTGCTTCAACTATAAAGTATTTAATCTTACCTTAGACACGTAAAACGCTTGGTAATTGAAGAAATATAAGCATGCCGCTTGGATTTTAAAATTTTTTCATTTTGCCATGCCAAGGTCACTTCCGGGTTAATCTGAGTCTATATGTAAAACAATGTTAAACGAAATCATAAGTACTTGTTACACGAAAAAATCAGTTGAAAGGGAAGCAGTGTCGTTAAGAAGGGAAGTTATTTGGAAAAGTTATTGTTTCAAAATGAGAAAAGTAATAAGTATGAGAGAACGGCTTTGGAATCGATCTCTGTGTAATAAATAATTATGATTCCGTTTTGATACATGTTTTACATTTAGACTACCGGAAACAACATTCAGCAACATGGTGGGCGATAATGAAAATATAATTCAATTGATTATATTTCGTCAATTATCAAGCGTTTTACATGTCTAAGGTAAGATTTAACACTTTGATGTTGGAGCTAAATAATTACTCGATAATTTGTGTGACTTTGGTTAGCATGGTAACTACGGTTACCAAGACAAGCCAGAAAAGCGTTTACCGCAATTTGTCAGCAATAATATCTACGACGGTATATGCTAAGAAAATGATAAAAAATAAATATCCAAATAGGAACAAGGAATATCGAAGAACAGCATATAACGGTCGGATTTATATGACTACATTTACATGACCGGGAACACAATTGAAATGGTCAGAATGACCATAAACATGATAAAATAACCTTTTTAGCCCTCTGAAAATGTGACTGAAAAATAGCTAAGAGTCGGTGCTAAGGAGAGGTCACTGAACAGAATCTTTTGATTTTTTCAGAAAATGTGCCCAATATATTGCTCTAAATGATACAATCTTTGAAATTTTTAAAAATCGTCTGAAACAATAATGGCTGGAGTAAAAAGGAAAATAGATCGATTTTCAAATCAGATTTTTTCATTTTTTTCTTTTTCTAAGAATGATATCAAATTTTTTTAAATTGTATCATTTAGAGCAATATATTGGGCACATTTTCTTAAAAATTCAAAAGATTCTGTTCAGTGACCTTTCCTGAGCACCGACTCTTGGCTATTTTTTTAGTCACATTTTCAGAGGGCTGAAAAGGTTATTCTATCATGTTTATGGTCATTCTGACCATTTCAATTGTGTTCCCGGTCATGTAAATGATATGTGGAACTAGTTAAACTGACTGGAGGTCCAAAGAGAACTCTGTTATCTTGGTTCAAAAAATTTTCAAAATACAGCATGGCTTTGTCATTTTTTGTTTTGTCATTTCCTGTTAACTTCCATGAGACCTTAAGGTGCCATGGAAGTTAACAGTAAATGACGAAACAGGAAGTGACCAAAAATTTTGCATTTTTAGACATTTTTTGAACAAAGAGTTCTGGTTTGACCTCCAGTCAATTTAACTATTTTCATATATCATTTACATGACCAGGATCACAATGTGTATGGTCAGAATGACCCTAAACATGATGAAATAACCTTTAATTTTAGCCCTTTGAAAGTGTGACTGAAAAAAAGCTAAAAGTAGAAACTAGGGAAGGTCTCTGAACAGAATCTTTAAAATTTTTCAGAAAATGTGCCCAATATACAATGCTCTAACTGATACAATCTTTTAAATTTTAGAAAATTGTCTTAAACAAAAATGCGGTCATAAAACGGAAAATAGATCGCTTTTCAAATAAGTTTTTTCATTTTTTTTCTTTTTCTATGAATGATATGAAATTTTCAAAGACTATCATTTAGAGCAATATATTGAGCACATTTTCTGAAAAATTCATAAGATTCTGTTCAGTGAATCTAGAGTCCATTTCACTGTTTAACTGCGTCAGTAAAAGCTGAAAGATAAATTAATAATAATAATATATGAAAAAATATATTCCTATTGTACATGAATGACATTTGCATATCTTGGATTGCTTCTAGTTTCGCTTATAAAGTGTGTGGCCTCTTATATTTGGATGCTTCTCTGCCATGTTATTTTCAATAAGATTAACATGGCTGAAATTCTTCAAATTACAAGACGGCACAGGCTTATTGCACAAAAAACTAAAAAATCTGAAATATACAAATGTCATTCATGTACATTATGAATATACTTTTCCATATATTATTACACAATGGTCTCCCAATTTCTTATTTTTGCCGTTCTACTGACGAAATGAAGCAGTGAAATGGACTCTAGTTCCACATATCATTTACATGACCGGGAACACAATGGAAATGGTCAGAATGACCATAAACATGATGGAATAACCTATTCAGCCCTCTGAAAATGCGACTGAAAATAGCTAAAAAAGTCAAAAGATTGTGTTCAGTGACCTTTCCTGAGCACCTAGTCTTAGCTATTTTTCAGTCATATTTTCACAGGGCTGAAAGGTTATTTCATCATCATTCTGACCATGGCCATTGTGATCCCGGTCATTAAAATTATATGTGGAACTAGTTAAACTGACTGGAGGTCAAAACAGAACTCTGTTTACTTGGTTCAAAAAAATTTCAAAATCCAGCATGGTTTTGTCACTTTTTGTTTTGTCATTTCCTGTTAACTTACATGGCACCTTAAAATATAGAAAGGGACGGAAATATGTTCTGCCATGTTATTTTCGAAAAATTAATATGACAATTTATGTATTAAAATGTATAGGAATATAATGGTGTACATTCATTCTATATCTCTATTAATATTATTGCAGGTCTTCTGGACTGGATTATCGTATGGTTCAGTAATCTCAGATCTCATCGATTTCAAAGACAGTGGTAAGGAAGCATTCATCAATATTTCTTCATTGTATTAAATATTTGATTTTATTTAAAACTCAGCAGAGATGACCTCAACTTATGTAGACATGATCATTATTTTGATTGGTCTATGACTGATATCAATCACGCCATATTATCGTCGCCGATTGATCAAATGCCATTCAAACATGACCGTGCTCTATTCGAATTTCTCAACCAATCAGAATGCAGCATAGCCAATATAGAACGTTCTCTAATTCTCCATAGATGCACGACCATGCTCTATTCAATCTGCAATTTGCATTGTTTTGAGTGACGTCACATCTCAGCTGCACATCTGGGGCTCTGTCCGGGGATAGCTGTTCTTTTTTACTCCCTCCGTAACTACTGTAACTATTTTATCAAGGAGGATTGGCTCCCAGAATGCAACACCGATATTCTGCAAAACAATCACCTAGCGATAGCTTTGTTGGAGAGTATCGGGTCATTCTCCATGCAGTCGTACAAATTATACAGACACGAATAGCAAATGACGCACGCGTGGAGATTAAAGAATATCGAGTTGGAACCCTGGCTTCCAATCCTCCTTGTATTTTATCAACACCCCATGTTTGCATACACCGTATAAAATCTAAAACGGGGAGTAAAATAGAACAGCCCAAACAAATTCTAAAATTTTTCCGGCCGACTTCAGAATCTTGACAGCATGCGTATTCTTCCTTCATGCCCGTTCCACAGACACGGCTTTTACTAATTTTTATGTTTAAATCGGAATAAATAATGATAGGCCATTCAATATGGTGAAATTCAGCACTCGTTGGACAGAATGTTAGTACAAATGCACTCACCTTCGGTTCTTGCAAGGGCGTTACAATACCCGGGAATTTATCGGTTCGTCCAGTACTTGTTTGTGATAGCGCCCTCTGTAGGTCACTGTGCTTATAGCCTACAGTAATACGGGGTAGCATATCGGGAATTCGGTCAGTTTCTATCCGTCGATTTCGCTATGAATTGAAGCAAGTGTGACCACTTTATCCACTTAAACAATTTGATAATTGATTAAATCTTTAAACAAAATCGATAAACACGTTATACACTTCCTATCTCCTTAGAAATTAGCATGTATTTATGGATTGTGTTTTCGAACAAGGCTCGACCCACACCAAAAGGGAAATCCTTATGCTAATTAGTATGACGTCATATTTTCCTGGGGAATCCTAGATTTCAAGGCCTCAGTCTGTTATTGTGTCAAATGTAAACGCTCTTGGGACGCTCTTTTGCAGACAGAAAATTGACAGATTAGCATTTAACTTTCAGCTTTGATGTTTAAATATTCTGTATTTCTACCGGACTTCTTGCTGAATATCATATAATGTTATAACTTGATTTGGATCATTGCCTGATTGATCATTCTGAAATTTTGATTGTGATTCATGATTGATTGGCAAGAAAAATAATTCCTATTGTTTTCCAGCGAAGTCAAAATGTTACAGCATGAGTTATAATGTCGAGTTTGCATCATGTTAAATTCTGCTAGTGATTAGAAGTCCATGCACAAGCATACACATAAGAGACAAACACACCCAGGCTCCAGGCCGTGGATGGAAATATAAAACTATTTAAGGCACAAACTGGTATTAATAGACCGATATGTAGTGTCTGCCATGTATTGAAGGTAAACCAATCTGTATTATTAATGTTTCTTCTATCAATACATGGGTTGTGCAATAGAAAAGCAATGGCACAATCAAAAATGTGCATATCAATCGTGAATATCTCTCGGTTCAAAGCTTATTTCCAACAGAATCGTGTCAAAATATGTGTCTGAGTAACAGTTATACATTATAAGATCGCAAACTCTTACCAATTATCAGCCGAATGGCTCATTTTCAACGAAATGTCCTTAAGACAACAGCCCTGGGTCGCGCCTGAGACCAAAAACTACTTCAAATAGCCCTCCCCTAATTATATTGGATAATCACATTTATGCGTGCGCGCGCAGCTCATCCAATGAACGAAACGCCACTTCCCGCTGAAATCACCGGGTATTGATCTTTCCCTTGGTTCTTGCTTTGTACAACATTCTGTCCAACTCGTGCTGAATTTCACCATATTGAATGGCCTATCATTATTTATTCCTTAATTCAATGACAGGTCGCTAATGAAAACAAGGATTGGCTCCCAATCCGACTCGCGAGTTTGGGCTTATTTCCAAACAAAACATTAAAACACCCAAGAACACGCGGTACTAACTTTGACCGTTAACTTGAATTTTAGACCTACCAGATGTTTGAAATTCAAGGATTGTGGGTCTCCTACTGCAAACTACCGTTTCTCTTCAAACTTGTCCCATTCAAAATCAAAAATGCTTTTCTGTTGGTGCATTGCTTTATTGCACACTCTCTTGTTTTAGCGGCATTCGGGGCCCAAGCTGTGAAAAGCACTTTTTACAGCTGGGGATCCAAACGCTGCCAAAAGGAGACACTCTGTATAACAGAGTTATGTAACAACAGAAAGGTACTTTTGTTGAGTTTTGAATGGAACAAGGTTGAAGGAAAATGGTGCAGTGTGGACTCACAATCCTCGATTTTCAAACATCTGGTAGCTTAGGTCTAAATTCAAATTAATGGTTGAAGTTAGAACCGCGTGAAGAAGTGATCATGATAATAAGGTTCAGCTGGAAAGTAACATTTTGGTAAAAAAATGCTGTACCTGCACATGTTATTTTCTGGTACAAAATTAAGTATGAAGGCATGTGTGTATTTAGATCTGTGTATTTCCTTGCTTTTTTCAGGAAAGTATCATTACACTGTCTACTTTTAGTAAACCTGGAAACAGGTCAATGGTAGCTCGTGTGTTGTCTGGAAACTTTGAAAGAAAGGACGAGTGTCTTTAAGACCACATATTAGCCCCCAAGATATTTATAAGAAATTGCACAGGATATCAAAAAAGGGACTTTGTTTGATAACCAAGTTAAAAAATTAGGTCATTCTGACCTTTACAGTTCAAAATATAGGTCTGTTATAACATGACCTTTGAAGGAAAAATCACTCTTTTCACATCATTATTGTCACTGTTTCTATTTATTATCAAAATAATCATTATTTACAGTCGTTTAAGAATTCTTAATTGATCCTCTTGGTATTATCTTGCATAATAGTGACAAAGCATAATGGACAATGTTTAAATACACATAACATATAACAAGTCAAAATGCAAACAAAATATTGAATAGTGATCTTTATACTTTATTGAAATCAATTGTCTAGAAGAATGTTTGCAAGAATGTGTCGGAAAAGAATATTGAGTTTTTTAATTTACATCACAATGAGAAAGAACAAGAGGCAACATTAAAAAACACATTTACAAGTAATTAACAAGTCAAAAAATGCATATCAATCAATTATATATTGATCTGCTTTTTGAGAGCAATTGCTCATATACTGTTTGTATTAAAGTGGCAGTGAAATACTGAATTTATTATGTCACATAAAATATAACAATTTCTAAAAGGTTACTCTGGACTTTACATAACTGTTGTTCTTCTGTAGCTGAGCACATTCATGTGTTTGTTCATTATAATAAGAGACTCGAAGAGCTATCATCATCTTCTTCAGATGACAATATTTCGGACATATCTTTTGATTTTAAGTCAAACTTTGTCCAGTTCTTTTTTGCTTTTATACCCCTTGTGCCTACAGCCCCACTCCCAACTGGGCATGAACAACACGATCCATTGATTGCATCAATACTATTACAAACATTTGGATCGGAGTTGTACTCCACCCATGTATAGTGAGATTTAGAGGACACTTAAACCTATTACTGGGTTTTTACACAAAATAGGCCATGTGTTTCTTTTTTTAACAATGATGGTATATTTCTCATCTACTTGAAGATGGTCATCTCCGTGTATCGTTTAGATTGCTTGGCTCAGTCAAAATGGGGAAGTCCTCAAAAGAGTCCACTACGATTTAAGATGTAACCCCTCTGTCTCCATATAGGGGGTACTGAGTGATTGCAGTTCACTCATACAGTTCAATTTGCTTAGGGCATTTTATGAGCAAATGTCGTTTTCCCGCATACTGATTGTGACTTACAGTATATTTCTTCTGCGCAAAAAAGACGAGGTGGATTTCTAAATATGAACATTGGTATGATCAGCCAGTGAACTGTGATAATATAAAAAATTATTCATTGACAAAAAAGATGGCTGTCATATGAAGATTAAAGAGACTCTATTGAGACTTCTCTGTGGCATTTTTTCTTTATTCCTTTTTGTTTTGAATTTTTAACACCATAACATTAACTAACTACTCAATATGCAACTTTTCACCACGTAGAATTTTAAAATATTAAGTTTGAAAATTCCATTTTTATAATGGAGCTCAATGGGAAAAACTACATAATTTGAATTATTTTCAAACGTAGCGGCGCGATTTTGATAAAATTGACAGATATTATAAATATTGGTAAGACAAAATGTTTGATGAAAAATGAAGAAAATTCACCGTCCTGGTTACGCAAACTATAGAAAAATCTGAAATAATCATAAAAACCTGTAAAAATAGATTGAAGGGGGTGATATTCATTTTTTATGTGCCTTTCACTACTACAGGGTAACCATAATTTTGGTACTGATTTGATTTTTCAATGAAAATCATTTCTATAGTGTATAGTCAGTTTAAATATACAATTGCTATATTTCTTTACTGAACAGTGCAATCATTTATTTATTTATCAACAGTAATGCAAACTACATATTATACAGTTACAGTAGTAAAATATCAAAATAATTATATTAAAATTAAAGCATTGAGATGATACTTAAATAATTACATATTATATTGATAGGCATATTATATTATAGGAGTTAAACCAATGACTCAATGCATTGTAGATGATTAAATTTAACATATGTCCCGATTCTAGACTATGAACGAGGGTGGTAGTCCGAATTCAAAGCATAGACTAGAAGACATACGTGAATTGAAGCATCCACTATTCATTGAATCATGTGCTTTAATTCAGTTTTAAACATTGCAAAATATTTTTTACAATTTCACTTAACAGAATGATATTTTTTCAAAGATATGTTGTACTTTTAGAATCATTTGCTTCAAAAGAATTGAACTATGGCGGCCTTTACTCGTTATTTTACGATTTTTGCTGTAACTCGAAAAGTAGTCGAGCGATTTTGTTCATATTTGGTATATGAAAACTATAAGCATGGCACACTGTCTAATGACTCTTCTGGTAGAAGGCGGCTATTTTAACGTATCTTACTATAACACGAAAAGTAGTGGAGCGATTTTGTTCATATTTGATGCGTGAATACTATAAGCGTGGCACACTGTCTAATGACACTTTTGGTAGAAGGTGGCCATTTTGAAAAATGGCTGCCATTTTTGCTGTATACTTTGTTTGTAAAAAATGCCAGCCATGGCTGTTCTATGGAATTTGCTACACTTTGGTGTTGCTGTTGTCTAGTTGAAGGATGGATGGACGGACAAATGGAGGGGTCTCTATAGCTTATCCCCTAATCTTCGTTGGATTGAACAATTGTGAATATGGTTTGTTGGACAAATAAAACTGATTGAATGTCTAAAAGCAAATAATGAAGTGGTAATTTATTTAAAATCATTAAAATCTCAAACATGCTTGCTTTGGCCTAGTCACTTAATTTCTAAATGTCCCGTAATTAGTATCTATATACCTTATTAGATGCAGTGAAGGAGTTAAATCATTGGGATATGAATAAATCATGCAAAACATATTTTGTACATATTTCTCATCATTTAGGGTTACCCGGTAGTTTACAAGCTGACCTTTGCAAAATATATTTCACTTACTATCCTCATTCGCTATCACGCTATCTAGTTTCTTTCCAAATTGGTCTGGATTGCCTGGTTTATTGGTTTTAGCGAACCGTCCATTTCGTCGAACCATCATTTTGCTAAGGTTGTTTGTGATGAATATACAATATTCAGTTACATATAACCGTACAGCAACTTTATGCAAGGGAAGGTAATTGTGTGAGAGCACATAAAGTACACGAAGTATTGACCCACTTGTCTCAGTGAATCTTATAAACAGTGCATAAAGTTTTTTCTATGCAATGGTTGGCTCACAGTTACTTATAGTGTAAGTTATTTTATTTCTATACAGTGTGGAATAGAGTGTATAAACTTTTACAGTTTCAAGCAGGTTTGAGTGTTTTCTGACCAATGATATATTCAGACTTATTCATTTCACGATTATGTAATACTGACCTACATATCTGTATAGCATATCTTTAAATGATTGTAGAACAATCATCTTAATTTTGCATGTACATTTATATGAATGTATTGAAAGTAATTACATGTGAATCATGTTGTTTAGAGCCATGGTAAAACTATATGCTTCTCTAGAGGTATGCTTCAGTGCAAGCATAAAATTTCACAATCATTCTAAGGATTTTCAAAATGGCTGACATCATTTTATTTCATGTTGAAAATTGCATAAAAGTAATATTTTTGCATAACGCCTGGTCCTTACCTAGATTTTTATATATCTCAAGATGTACCTTAGAAGTACACTATTCCCTTACTACATATAACTTTCTAGGTAAGAACCAGGCGTTATATGAAGAGTTTATCATGACCTTCCTCTCTCTAAAAATAAGTAGGTCAACACAATTGCAAACATAACTAATCCCTACTCAATGACTATTGAAATATGACTATTCATATGTACAAAATTAAATATTAATCCAATGAGTGTATAGAGTGACACAATCAAACAATGGGACATCTGCCAAGTTAGGTTTATACATTCTGGAGACATTTTCTGGGACTGATAAAAAATTCATATTTTCACAGGAAGTGATACATACCTCCCAAATCAACCAAAATATACTTATATCAGTAATCTTGAATGTTTTTTATTGTTATTTCTTGAAAATATACATATTTATCTACAATTTCATCCTACATATCGAGGAAGTTAACAACATTGCATTTTTCAAAAAATGTTAAGTGACCCCACGGGTTTCTATAGCCATTCGTTCTTTGGAGAAATAGAAAGTGTGAAAAATCAGAATTTCCTGGAGTTCCCATTGACCTTTTATCAGATATACTAAAAGAAGACAATGTAATGATACTTTCCGGAAAAAAGCAAGGAAATACACATATGCCTTCATACTTAACAGTATAGTGTACCAGAAAATAACATGTGCAGGTATAGCAACTTTTTACCAAAATGTTATTTTCCATCTGTACCTTAATTCGCATTTTTTGATCGCTGATTATGAATTCATAGTCAGTTATAATGTCAGAAAATAACGACATTTTCGATCAAGGTCAACCAGAGGTCGAATATAGAGTTATAAAAACTGGGAACTAATCCTCCTTGTCGAATTCTCTATATATCTCAAAACCTGCGTGCGCTCACACATCCTGACAGTTGACTCACGGATGATGGAGTTTTCATTTCATGATACTTTGTCATACTTTTACAATGTTCACGTTTTTCTTTCAGCAGCCAAGTCGGTGAAAGATTATGAATTTGGTTCCGAGGAGAAGCGCGATTTTGGTGCTACTGCTACACTAATTTCCGCGGGTATAGCAGCAGGCACAAGCCTCATAGGAACAACGACAAGTGCTCTTGCGGCGCAAACTGGTTACCAAGTAACGGTCGGAATTGAAATGGAGAACTATTCAAAATGGTTACTGTCAGACCCGCGCGGTGCAAACTGGTGGGGACAAATAAGTGTAAATATTTATACTTTCTTATTGCATGTGCCTATATTGCTATATGTATTATAATCTCCCTTTTGCTGATTGCTATGCTATAAGACTGGCTTATTTTCTCAGTTTCTAAAATAGGTACTTTTTTATCCCTTAATATTATCACATTGATTTAATATAACATATACAGGGTTGGCCAAAATGCCCACCACTTTCAGGAATCAGATTATACCTTCTTAAACCCTACTTAGGTAGCAACAAAACAGCTGTAGTTATTTCTAAAGAGTGTACAGTTATATCAAAAGAAGACTATATTATTTTTCTAGTGTTTTTAAAATATGGAGACTTTGCAAGCTATCAAAACCAGTGTGGAACAAAAGACGGTTGACAGTTTTTGACAGTTTCCATGATTTAACAATGTAGATCTACATGTCGTCTTCTTTTGTTACTGTACATTCTTCCGAAAATGAAACAGTTTATTAATTTTTTGTGTTGCTACCTACAGTATTAATATAAGCTTACTTACAAATTCTACTCCATCCATTACATCAGGACTGTCACATGCAGTGTACTGAAGCTGAGCTAATTGTAAACACCCTATTCAATAATCCAGATGCGAGTAGAAATAATCTTGATTTACGTCATTAAAATTCAAAATTCAGTCAAACTAATATCATATTTAAAATCTACATGTAAAATTACATCTAGAAATGTGGTTTTAAAAAGTGTTTATCAACTTTGAAAAATTAATTTTCTTTGAAAATGTGACTTCTAGCTCGGGGAGATTCCCCATAGACCCCATGCTATAAAATCACAAAAAATGAAATATCTTTTCTTTTAGTGGACAGATAATATTTTGCTTTACTGGACATATTTTCATTAGTATAAGTTGCAGACACATGACCTAAAGGGTTATATGAAAATTGAGCCACTTAAATTGATAATATTCAAGTTCAAGGGAACTTTCTACTATACCTGCCATGTTAATTGACCCGAATCAGCCACCTGGTGGTGAAACTGGTAACTACCTACTCGCATTTGTACGGAAAGCGATAGGGGACATGCGCATAATTCAAAATCGAATGGAGTTTTAACATGGGAGTGATATCACACACTGCGGCCCAGTCAGATAGATTTCATTGCGCACTGAATGAATTACAGGGGCCGCGTTGTGCAAAGTTAATTAAAATAAAGTGCGCAGAAATTCCGGCATTCAGTGCGCGATAAAAAATGATTATCTGTGAATAAATAACGAATAAAAATTCGTGGCACCACGAATTTGATTTTTTTCGAAAGACTGCGGAGTGAACCAGCGAAATGACAATTTTGGATAATATTGATGGCTCTAACGAGGAGAACTTTGAGATTTCCCGATTCTAGCGCGCAGTACATCCAGGACCACGATGCGCACTTTTATTAGATTCGATTCTAATATGGTTTCAAAGATAATGTTCATTAAAAGAGGGCGTATGCATAAAGATCACACGTGGCGTTATGTTGAAGTGACCCTTGCAAAGGGTTCCATTGAAAATATATTATTTTGGGCCATTTCATATCTTTTAAGTGATATTGTATAAAACATTTTCAAAATTATAATCTTATAAATAACATTTTATGTAATAAACTGTAACTGAAATGGTAAATACGGAATATGATGCAATACAATGCAGTGCAATATGATGTAATACAATGCAGTGCAATATGATGCAATACAATGTGGTGCAATATGATGTGATACAATGCGGTGCAATACAATTCAGAGCAATACGATGCAATACAATGAAGTGCAATACAATTCAGAGCAATACGATGCAATACAATGCAGTGCAACATGATGCAATACAATATAGTGTAATATGATGCAATACAAAGCAGTATAATATGATGCAATACAATGCAGTACAACATGATGTAATACAATGCAGTGCAATATGATGCAATACAATGTGATGCAATATGATGTAATACAATGCGGTGCAATATGATGCAATACAATGCGGTGCAATATGATGCAATACAATGCAGAGCAATATGATGCAATACAATGCAGTGCAATATGATGCAATACAATGTAGTGTAATATGATGCAATACAAAGCAGTATAATATGATGCAAAAAATGCAGTGCAATATGATACAATAAAATGCAGTGCAATACAATACAATGCAAAACAATGTCGTGCAGTGCAATACAATGTAGTTCATTTCAATACAATGCAGTGTAATACAATGTGGTACAGTGCAATACAATGCAGTGCAATACAATACATCGCAGTTCAATACAGTGCAATACAATGTAGTGCAATGTAGTGCAATAAAATACAATACAGTGCAATTCAATACAATGCAATACAATACAGTGCAATACAATACAATGCTGGGCAATACAATACAGTACACTGCAGTACAATACAATGCAGTGCAATAAAATACAATGCAGTGTAATAAAATGCAGTGTAATTCCAGACAATGCAATACAATACTGTGCAATACAATACAGTGCAATATAATACAATGCAGTGCACTGCAATACAGTGCAATACAATATGGTGCAGTACAATATATTGCAGTGCAATTCAAAACAATACAGTGTAATACAATGCAGTGCAACACAATGTGGTACAGTGCAATACATTATAATGCAGTGCAATACAATACAATGCAGCGCAATACAATGTAGTACACTGCAGTACAATACAATGCAGTGCAATAGAGTACAATGCAGTGCAATATAATATAATACAGTGCAATACAGTACAATATAATTCAATAGAATACAATGCAGTGCAATACAATACAATGCAGTGCAATACAATAAAATGCAGTACAATAAAATACAATGATGTGCTATACAATACAATACAATGCAATGAAATGCAATTCAATGCTATGAATGTACACCTTCTACAGTCAAATAAACACAGATAAAATTGTAATAGTATGTTAGTGTATGTAGTTTGAAGTGGGTGGGGGATACAATTACCAGTCTGCTGATTGATGACTTAATAACTTAGAAAAGATCTAGCTTTTAACAGGTGTCACTTATGTCTACCTTATGTTCTTGAACAATCTCGTCTAAGAATACAGACCCGTATCCTGGATTAACCTGGGGGAGTGGTTTTACCAAGGATGAGATTTTGCCAAGAGGGGGGAGCTTTTTGACAGTTATGGCAAAAAAATCATGCGAAAAGTGCTAAGAATGGTGAAAAACTGCATGATTTTGAACGAATATTTGGCAAGGGGGAGGGGGTTGAGGCCCCCTGGCTACGGCCATGGAATACATATAGGAACTTTCCTTCTCCCAGAAGAAATGGTATACAGGTATTACATCAATCATTCTGGTATTTTGTATACGAAGGTCTGTAGTTACTTTATTGAAAGATGGCAGTGTACACTGTGTACTACCATTTTGAGGTCAGTTTGACTTTATAATTCTGCGCACTATAATCTGTAATTCTCATAGATATCCTCTCTAGAGGCATCACTGTGATCCAAAATTACAATTTCGCAGGTCAAGTCTGCAGTCTTTCGAAAAAAGTTGAATTTGTTGTGCTACCCTTTCTTGTTGGGCATTTATTCACAGATAATCATTTTTTCATCGCGCACTGAATGCCGGAATTTCTGCGCACTTTATTTTAATTAACTTTGCACAACGCGGCCCCTGTAATTCATTCAGTGCGCGATGAAATCTATCTGACTGGGCCGCGGTGTGTGATATCACTCCCATGTTAAAACTCCATTCGATTTTGAATTATGCGCATGTCCCCTATCGCTTTCCGTACATTTGGATAATTACCTAATATTTGAAAAGTTAATGCAAAAGAAAATTTACATTGTACCTGGCCTGTTACATGCAGTGCACTAAAGCTGAACTAATTATATCCCATGCACTCACTAACGTACTTAACGTACATGATATTGCAGTAAATAGCTCTAACTCGGAACCAATCAAGTCGTTGTAAACTAAGGGGTATTTTATTGGCCCATATCCTGAATATACAAATAGCAAGATTCCAACTTTATGATAAATGTGTTGATTTGTTTATTTTATGATAAAATTGTAACTAACTGGATATCATCCCGTGCCAGGACTATAGTCCTGAGAACGTCTCGATATTTTGCCACCGACCAACTTTGGGGGTTTTCAAATCCAAACTTTGTATAAAATGAGTTCCTACCATCCAGTTTATCCCGTGTCAGGACTATAGTCTCGGAGAACGTCTCAATCTTTTGCCTGTACGATTACAACATGGGAGAATTTTTTACGCCTCTTATACTTAAGATACGTACTTCAATAGATTCCTTGGTATTATAGCATTCTTTTCGTGTAGTTGAATCCACAATTATCTTGGTTTATCGGCAGAACGAAGAGATTTTCGTATTTGATCGCAATATTTGCGTGTAATATTTAAATTCAAACCGTCAAATTAATTCCTCCATTTATTGGTACTTCCGGGCCAGTCAAGCGGGGAATTCCCTTTTAAACCCAACCGCCATCTTAAAGTGATGGAATCTCTCTCGATAAAAAAGAAAAATCTTCCCGTTCTGCCGATAAACCCAGATAATTGTGGATTCAACTACACGAAAAGAATGCTAAAATATCCAAGAATCCATTGAAGTAGGGATCTTAAGTGTAAGAGGCTTAGAAAATTCTCACATGTTGTAATCGTACAGGCAAAAGATTGAGACGTTCTCCAGACTATAGTCCTGGCACGGGATAAACTGGATGGTAGGAACTCATTTAATACAAAGTTTGGATTTGAAAACCCCCAAAGTTGGTCGGTGGATCAAAATCTTTATCTGGAGAAAAACTTAAAATTATGCAATTATCAATCATATGAAACATATTAACGATGAAAAATCACATTGGATGAAATATTCATCATATAAACTAATTCAAGTAATTCAAGTGTTGATAATAAAGTCATTGTAGACCCAATCATTTTTTCAGACCCCACCAACGTCAGTGAAACCTCGAACGAAGGAAACTATGATAGCTCATAAAACTGGCTGGCTGGCGACTGGCACCTCTGGTGTCGCATCATGGAAATTTGTGAAAGGAGGCAGCGCGTATAGAGTAATAGTTATGTGGTCTATTCCTTGGAACCAAAACCACAACAGTAACTGGCTTGGGATTGGCATCCTCCCTGAACAGCCATTCGACCCATCGTTCAATGACATGTATTACCGTACTGATAATTCTTGGTTTGTTAAAAAGGCTTATTACAGAAACACCAACACGCTCAGGTTTTGCAAATATGACGTATGTGTGTCTGGTTCCATGGGAACGACTCATAGGCCGCAAGCGACTATACGTTTCATACCCCAGAGCGTTGATGATCTTGCCATCGGTTTAAAGGATATGATTAATGGCTAAAACAATGTTAAAACATTGAACACTATTGCATTTTTGAAGAGGTATAATTCAGAAATATATTTGTATCTAAATAATAGCTTACTAATATTAGTGCGATGACAATTTTTTATAATAATGAGATTGAAAATCCACAATTGATGTTAACGACAAAGTTCATTACCATACCTTTATTTCATTGTATAAAGAACCTTTGATATTTACTCTTCCTACATCGTTAGCAAGCATGTTTTGCTACATTACTTATGTACGACGGGCCCTATCATGTGATAAAACTATTCTAGATATAGATACATGTATGCTATATAGCAGAAATATAATTGAAATTATCACGCTTTAACCATTATTTTGTGGTTTGTTTAATACGCATATGTGTTACTTGTAGGAGAGGGGCTTCACTGCTCGAGCATAAGATTAGTAGCATTTGAATTTGTGTATCCTAATTACATTATGGTCTCTATTTTTTTGTAACTGCGAGTGGTGGTTGGCGTCTGTAACAAATTCTTACAACTGCCAATAACTTAACAAATACTTTTTAGACTGACTTCAATTTTTTTTCAAAACCATCTACAAAGCTCAAATCTGACTTTAGATTTAACCTCAGGGTCAAAGAGGCTCAAAAAGGTCCAAAGGTATTTTTTCCACTTGCTTCAAATTGACCATTTTTTCAAAAACATCTACAAGTTATTTTGTCCACAACAGAAGCTGGACATAATCCCTGCTTGGTGTAATAGAGCGTGTTATCCCCGAACGAATATTGCGCCTGCTTTGTATTGAAACATCCTTGGCTCAATTTATGTAGGACCAACATGCTAAATCAGGACAGTTATTACATTGGACCTCGGAAATTGATCCATCTGACAATATCACACCGGAACACCATGACAACGGTAACATACTACCCAACGTGACCACGTTCAAAAGGGAAACGGGGTACAGTTAAGTTGCAAATGGAGGCCGTGGGTTTATTTCCATATTTCTGAACGTAAAATACATTTATTTCTAGTGTTCTTCAGACCTAAAATATATTCATCAAGCAGTTTGTAGAATTTTGTTGATAAAAAACATATAGGCAAAGATAGAGTAGTGGGTGCAGTGAAGTAAAAATTTCCCCGGTGGTTAATGTCGAGTCTCGCATCATACGAATGTAATTTTAGGCGATATGTTTGCATGGGGTGACTTATCTTATGAACTATGGGGCACAACAACTTGGTCATTGTATCATTTTTCAAATCATTTGGGTTTATATACCTAAAGAATATCATTAATAAGACATGAAACAGTCATTTGTCTTCGTCGATGTTGCAGTAGAGGGTTTCCCAAATTGTTCGATAAATAGAGATCATTGTTTTCTATCACGTTAGACCGTACTTTGGAATAGGTGGGTTTGTTTTCCCTATGACTGGTGTACTCTTAGGTATTTTCTTTCGTTTCGATCCCCATGGCCAGTGTGAAAGAAATTATGGTTCCCCGGGGATAATGGCCCCTTCCGAGTCACCGGTGTAATAGATCTAAGTGTCCCCAGTGGCCAGTGTCCGTGGGACAGTTAACCCTGGGGATGCTTGTCCGTCGGACAGTTAACTCCAAGTTTTAAGTGTCCCCCTTGAAGTTTTGAATGTCCCCTTGGGGACACTAAAAACCAGCATCATTCGAAAGCTAGTTTTTAGTGCCCCCCCCTTTATTTATGTATTAACTAATAATGCGTTTTATCATTAATAAATCATCGAGCACTACTCTGTCACGTTAAATATAGACCAAATATAACACAATTCACAAAATGTAAGTATATTTATCGCGTATATGTACTCCTAAATAAAAATGTTTGGTCAATTTGAAGCAAGTTGAAAATTAGTCTTGAAAAGTTTCGAAATTTGACATTTTTTCAGTTTTTGAGGTCTAATATCTCAAAACTGTCGCACAATTTTAATGGATAGTCAATTGCTTATATGTGTAGAACCTTTAGTGGAATATATATTCTGACTTTCATCAAAAAATATTGATTTATAATCATCAACTTTGATAAACTAAGAAAACACAGTTTGTGATTTAGTTTGATGACCTTGACATTTGACCTTGCAAAGGAGTGGTATCGTTATGATGAACTTTTTGAACACGCGTTTCTCTTAAACCAGTCATCAAAACATTCTGAAAATTTTACACATCGTCCATTTAATGGTCATCTTTTGGATGGTAACATTATAATTTGAATTATATATATAGACTTTTCTCTATATTGTTTTAGAAAAACACATCAGACACTTTTTTTGTTCTTGGTATCATATATTCGGAATGAAATGAAATATCTATCCGAACCTCATTGGAACAAAACGACATATAAACACAACGTGTTTAGGTCTCTCAATATTGCAATTGTACAAAGGAAAGTTTGGTTGATTTTAAATAAGTATCTTTATCTTAATTTTTATCTATTTTAGGGGTTTTGTTTGAAGTTTTTGGATACTTTTTGTTAAATCAACCCAAATTTCCTTTGTATAACTATAATATTGAGAGGTCTAAGAAAATGTTGTTTATGCTATTTTGTTCCAACAAGGTTCGGAAAGACATTTTATTTCATTCTCAAGAATTCGTAAAAAGGAACAAAAAACAATTACATAAAAAAATGTTAGCAAAAACAGTTAAATAAAATATAATATATGCATTATTTTTGCATTATATTGTTGCCAATCAGTCAACATTACATAAAGGACCGTGTATTTTACAGAATGTTTCCTATAAATGGTTTAAGAGAAAAACATTGTTGAATTCACTTCACCATATCGATACTTATCCTTTGACTTTCTTAGACATCAGTGGGTCTTTTTGTGATTAAATAAACCTAAATTTGAACCCAGAAGGTCAAAAGAAAGGTCAGATTTGAGTTCCCGGTGATTTGTAGATGATTTTAAAAAATAAATTGGTCAATTTGAAGCAATATGACCAATTTTTTTTCGTCAATTATCTCAAAAACGGTAAAGATTTAGCGCAAACATATAGTAAGCAATTTGTAGGGAATGCTTATCTAGTTACATTTTAATTCATTGCAAGAAATACTCATGAAATATGAAGACGAAATCTGAGAAACTTAAAAAAAACTCTGATTTGACCTAGATTTGGCCTTCGACCTTGACCTAGATAAAAATTCCTTCCCTGCCAAGTGCAGCTCAGGTCCTTAGTAGAAGCATATAAGAGTTATCTCAGACCTAGCTAGAAGTAGGAGAAAAGTGGTTAAGAGGAATAAGAAAATAAATAAATAAAGAATATCTATAAAAACTGGTGGTATTGTAACAATCGTGGGCCATGTATCTGCCATACAAGTGTAGCGTAGCCTTGGCATTACACAGTCCCAGACTGTTATCTTGTTCCAAAGTAGTATCACTTAAACAGTAACAATTGAATAATAAGACAATTACATATGGGTTTATAAGTCGTTACTCAGTCTGTCATAAGTCTTATAGTCAATCAGTAATAAATGTGTTAACTGTCTGGCTACACATTATAAATGGGGCTAATGCTGTTTATATTAATAAACTGGGGGCTCTAGCCACTTCTAGCAATGGTATCCAGGGTGAATAGTGGTTCTAGCCACTTCTAGCAATGGTTACCTGGGATGTACAAGGGTTCTAGCCACTTCTAGCAGCCGTTATCCAGGATGTATAATGGTTCTAGCCACTTCTAGCAATGGGTACCAAGGAAGTATAAGGGTTCTAGCCACTTGTAGCTATGGGTACCAAGGAAGTATAAGGGTTCTAGCCACTTCTAGCTATGGGTACCAAGGAAGTATAAGGGTTCTAGCCACTTCTAGCTATGGGTACCAAGGAAGTATAAGGGTTCTAGCCACTTCTAGCTATGGGTACCAAGGAAGTATAAGGGTTCTAGCCACTTCTAGCTATGGTAACTTGAGATGTATAAGGGTTCTAGCCACTTCTAGCTATGGGTACCAAGGAAGTATAAGGGTTCTAGCCACTTCTAGCTATGGGTACCAAGGAAGTATAAGGGTTCTAGCCACTTCTAGCTATGGGTACCAAGGAAGTATAAGGGTTCTAGCCACTTCTAGCTTTGGGTACCAAGGAAGTATACGGGTTCTAGCCACTTCTAGCTATGGGTACCAAGGAAGTATAAGGGTTCTAGCCACTTCTAGCTATGGGTACCAAGGAAGTATAAGGGTTCCAGCCACTTCTAGCTATGGGTAACACGTGACTAGAATGGGGGGGGGGCGTGTTACACTTGCAGTTGACTTAGGGAACTGGAACTGGCTAGAAGTCACGTGTATCATGTCATGTCAATGGAAGTCAAATGTAAATGGGAGGGGGATAAACATATCTCACTAAACTCCTTAAAGATAAACAAAACAACACGTTTAAAATTATCTAATCTATTTCAAGAATTATAAAATAATCACATATAATTGGTACAAGTAAGTTTATATACGTTACATACACAATTGAAATACACCAAGACCAATCAAACACTTAAATCACAGTAAAGTGGCTGTAAAAGGCTAGAAGGAGAGCTTAGCTAATAGGAGCTAGATGATGACTCACTCAAGCTAGAACAGGCTGATCTCATATCCAACAGAATAGATAGCCCCTTTCTTTCATTAAAAAGGTCATATTTTCACGTTCATTAGAAATTTCAGTATACTTTAAATAATTAAACCTTGCTAATTACGTTGATAACATTGATAATTTGATGAGAAATCGAGATGAAATTACATGAAAACACATGGAAATCACTTCAAAAGTTCACATCTCAATTACTGGTCAATTACTGAAACAATCCCATTCAAAGTCATAGAACAATTAAAATATATCATTATAATTACCTTGAACCACAATGCACCACGATTCACCAACGCAAACTGCTATAAATCCAAGAAAATGAGGAGAAAACACAAACTGGTCCACCATGATTAAGAAAATTCCAAAAGACAAGTAGTGCATAAAATCCCTACGCCAAATCACATGACCAGATGAATCACAGTTCAAAATAAGACAAACTAAAGTTATGTACATATATTTAAACATGCATACAATAGAATAGACATACTAAATAACATACATAAGTAAAAGTAATCACATTAAGGCAAGATGATCAATGGACCTATATCCTGTAAGCAGAATTGTATAGAGTGAACAGGCCAAACGTTGCACAAGCGTATGAGTCATGGTGACCTTTACTAAAGTTAGCAAAAATAATCAGTAAAACTCCTTACTGGTGAACAGTGAAACTATTAATTAATGTAGTTGAAACAATGCAAATATGAGGATCAGTAACGGCACATCAGACCAGATATAAACCATTGAAAAGAGTAGACAGGCTGATGGGTCGTTACACTGCCCCCTTCTTTAAAATAAGTTCGTCCCGAACTTTTACACACAAGTTACAAATCAAATCACAATCAATAATACACAAAAGTATTTCAATCAAAGATGACACATGATCCAAAAGTGACATGATAATACAGTAGTTTACAAAGTTATACACTTACAACTTGCATCACCTGAAAAACATGTCATGACAATATCCATTTGGTTCAAACA